TCCTTTCCATCCTTTTCTTAAATTACCCAGCTGATTCCTATTGCTTATCTTCAAGGAATACTACTAAATACTTATTTAAAAAATAGTAATGACATGTGATATATATATATATACACATATATTTCCATTTTGCTACATCGGCAGCTGGGAGCAGCACCTGCCACATAGATGGGGTTGAGTAGCAACTTCAAGAAGCAGTTATGGCTTGTGTCTTTGTTGTGTCTCCCTTCTGTTCTTCCTGAAATTTTAATAAAATCTTGTTTCTCTCCCTGCCTAGTTTCAACTGTGTGTGTGTGTGTGTGTGTGTGTGTGTGTGTGTGTGTGTGTTTAAGGGGGAAGGGGATGGGGCTTGGCCCATATTTCTGAAGCAGTAGTCAAGAGTTGGTTCTATCCTTTCTCCAAAGCCAGGTGGGGAGTTGGCCGAGGTCACTCCTCTCCAGGGCCACCAGCATTCTGGGCTGATGGGGCGAGGAACAGTTCTCCAGAAATAACCTGGGGATGGCTCCTGCGCACGTAAGAGCCCTCTGGGAACCACTCAGAGGCGGCTGGGGAAAAGGGTCCTGATGTCGACTACTAGGCATAAGTACCATAATAATTATTTGGGTGGGCCTAGGACACCTGTCCTATGGAGGGAGGTAGGATTGGGGATTGGTGGTGAACGGGAAACACTGACTGCCCTCAGGGAGCCTACAGTCTGGGGGGAAGGTACAGACTTGTAATAGGTCCTGCACAGCAGGATGGGAGAAGCACCGGATGCCATGAAGGCACATGGGATGGGTACCTGAGCCAGTAAGTCTTCCTCAGAAGGCTTCTGAGCGAGGCTGGAAGGAACAGTGGGATCCGTGAAGGGAATGTTTTTCAGGTCAATGTTTTCTGTGCTTCCAGATCCGAGGGAGGGCCAGGCATGCAGGGGAGCTGAGGTGGTGCCTCAGGGCTCAGCCCAGACAGAGGTTGCCTTGCGGGGTGGGGATGCCATGGGGGTAGGGAGTCAGGAGACTGGGAGGAAGCAGGGCCAGTAAAGAGCCTTCCCACTAAGACATCTGGGGTTTAACTTGAGGGCAGTGGAGTGCATGGGCCAGGTTTATGCAGGGCGGTGAGCTGATCAAAGTTGGAATGATTCTTTTAATTTATCATCTCCTGACTTCCCCAGTACCCAAGGCCATCTCAAATGCACCGCAGTTACTCCACAAGGGACGCTAGAATTGTTCCACTCTACTCTTGGAGTTGATCCTAGATAATCTCTCTCCACACAGCCCACGTGGACAGACTTTTTTTTTTTTTTTGCACGGTTGGGGCCAGCCTACCTGGATCTCTCCCAAGAAGCTGCCTCCCTGATTACTACCCAGGCATTCAACTCAGTAGCTCATGGGCAGGTGATGTCCAACCCAAGCTTCTAGGATTTGGCTCCCCAGCCCAAACACTGCTCCTCCACAACCATTGCTTATGTGGGAGGGAAACCAGACAGCTCTGCACAGGACCTGCGGCTGAGACGTGGCAGTGAGGTCAGGGACCTAAGTTTAAGTTAGACAGCCTATCATCAGGTGGTCACCAGCTAGTCATCATGCATACATATGGCAACTCTGTGGCAGGTGAGCATCCTCTCTCTCCTGGGCCCTTGGCAGACATCACTAATCGATTATATCACTTTCACACTGAGTCAGCCCAGAGCTGCAGACAAACCACCATCAATCAGAGCTGGTACCTGGGATGAAGCAGATTTGCCATTCTTGTCCCAGACCAGACAGGATCCAAAGGTCAGGGTGACTCTGAGTCAGAAGCCAGGCTGGAGAGCAGCTGTCCGTACACCAGGAATTTCAAAGGCCCTGAGGTAAGGAGCTGAGCAGGGGGTGGTCAGGCTGGCCAAGCAGAAGTGCTGGGGAGGAGTTGATGGTTCACATTCATCCATAACTTCAGTTTACAAAGCACTTTCACTAAATGCCCATGACTCCTGAGGTAGAAATTACTTACTTCCATATTACAGGTGAGGAAACGGAGGCCCAGTGAACCCTATTTGTCTGGTGTCACCAGCATGGCAGCTACGGTTTTGGTCTACCTGGCAGACACACTTCCTGTGAGGTAACACAGGTAAGCACAGGACCTGAGATCAGACTCTCTCCTGAAAAATCTGTGCTTACCCTGAGACCGCCGGGGGAGAAGGCAGCAGAGCTGAGCCAGATGGCAGTGGTGTGCTGGGAAATGCTGGAGCGCCGGCTTGGGGAGGATGCGAATCCTCTCACTTTGGCCTAGTTCAGGCTACCAGCGTGATGTTGTTGAATGCAGGGCTGGGAAGAGAGGCTGTTGGATGGACACCCCAGTGGACAGAACTTCCCAGTGGGAGCCAGCTCAGGGCAGTGCCCCGGAGAGGGGCTCAGGGTCGGTGCCTGCACAACCTGGTTGGTCAGCTCTCCCTGCAGTCCTGTGAGCCGCGCAAGCTCTTTCCTGCCTGGGTGGGAGCTCATTCCTGTTGTTTGCAAGTAAAGGGCCTGAGCATCCTTCCTGAACCGTGGGGGAGTGGGTCTCAGGGCTGGGGATCTGCCTTCCACCTCCTTGATCTTTCCTCCCCACCCCCTGCTCCCTCAAGGGAGGGGTGACCAGGCCAGGAAGGTGGTAGGAATGCCGAACATCAAGCCAAGAACCCGACAGTCAGGATCGTTGGTCGGTCGTGGAAGGGGTGGAGGCGGGGAGGCAGCCCCTCCCCGCCTGGAAGCCCCTTCCTGCTCTCCCTCCAGCGGCCCCTTCCCTCCTGGGCAGCCTCACAAACACAGCTGGGCAGTGGCTCCACTTGGCATGGCCCAGAGTGGGGCAAAGGCTTTTGATACCTGAGGAGCCGTGCAGGGGGGTACCTGTGCCCTTGTCCCATCCACCCATCACCGCCTGCCCCTGCAGCCTGGAAACCAGGGGACACTGCACAGGTGACTCTGCAGTGACCCAATTCTGCCCTGCCCTCCTGTCTGGAAGCCCTGTTAAGTTTTCCAGCAGGACATTCTTGGAGTTACTTGCTCGGGAAGCAGGCCTGGCTGATCTTAAAACAACAGAGCGAAAGCCGCCGCCTAGCGTCTGAGCGGCTGCAGGGCTCCAGCTTGAATGCGGAAACGCCCGTTGTCCTCGGGAGACCAGGTGGCCAACCCAGGTTGGGTCCCTCGGGCTTGGCGACAAGCAGGGCTGCAGTGGATGGGCAGGTATACCGTGACCAAAGGACAGCAGCCACCACCGAGCTTCAGGCAGTGACCTCCATGTGTCTGGAAATTCTGATTTTTAAAGAGAAGCCCAATACCCCAATTTTTATGTGAAATCTCTTGATTTTTAAATGCTGGCAACTAGTTACAAAAACATTTTTTAAAATTACATGGGTTCAACTAAACACATCTTCAGGCCACCATTTGCAGCCTCTGGTCTTGAGCCTAAATGGAAATCTCTCACTTCCCAGCCAGCCCTTCTAGTACCTCCCTCCCACTGCCAGCCCATGGCTGTGCCCACCCTGAGCCCGCTCCCCTGCAGTCCCTCCTACGCTACCCAACCCACAGTGGCCTGAGCCACCCCCTGCTTCCAGACCCCCTGGCTCCCCGCTTTGAAGGTCACATCAGAATAGGACACCCACGCCGTGTCCTTGCTGCAGTCACCCACAGACCCTCGTGTCTTCCCCAGTCCCTGCAGACAGCAGTCCTCGCCCCAAACCGCTGCTGTCCTACTTGCGCTTTTTGTTTTAATTTAAAAAATTTTTTTAATTAAATTTTTTTTTTTTTTGGCAGCGAGGCATGCGGGATCTTAGTTCCACGCCCCCTGCAGTGAAAGCTGGTTTCAAGGCTCCCACATCTCAACTTCTCTGGTCCCGACCTCCTCTCCTCCAGTGATTTCTCTCACACCACTCAGTCCCACGAACTCACCCAATAACCAAAGTGATTTCAGCTGCCCCCTTACGTTCCCAGCTCACCTCCTCTGGTGGCCATGGCCCTCTGAGCCCACGGGGACCCGTGTCCTGGGTCCCCCACTCCCTGCCGTCCTCACCTCCCCTGCCACTGCTCCCCGGGCTCACACTGCTCCAGCCTCGTAGCCTTCCAGATCCTCAGACACGTGCCTGTTCCTGCCCTGGGGGCCTTGATCCTCCCTGTCCCTGCTGCTCTGCCCCCAGAAGCTCCCAGAAGCCTCTGTCTCCTCCTCCAGCCATTGCTCAGATGCCACCTTCTACCTCTCTGGCCATTGTGTTTAAAACGCCACACCCTGGAAATGGACAGTGGTGATGGTCACCCACCATTGTGAATGTACTCAGTGCCTCTGAATTGTACTTAAAAATTGTACTTAAAAATGGTTAAAATGGTAAAGGTTATGCTAAGTTACGTTTGCCATAACAAAACTGCACAACCCACTCCCAGCCCTATTTTTCTCCCCAACGCTTCTCCTGACACTCTGTATTTTATTCATTTTTTAATTGACTGCCTCCCCCATAGGGCGTCAGCTCCACGAGGGCAGAAACTTGAAGGTTCTGTCCACTGGGGTGTCCATCCAACACCTAAAACAGCACCTGGCATCCACTGGAAATAGACCGTGTTTGTCAAACGGCCTCTACTTAGACTGTCCCTGGGAAAAGGGCTGGGACTGTGGGGACATCCCTTTCAGAGTCGCCTCCGCTCACCACCGCCGACAGCTCAGACCACGTGACACAAAGGAAAGAGTATAAAAACCACGATGACCTGGGGTGCACCTGTCCGCCTAGGGCGGCAGTGCCAGGAAGCATGTACAGGGTGCCCTTCCAGCGAGCCAGGCACTCCACTCAGCCCAGCCTGGCACCTGAGGCTATGGGACCTCTCGGAGCTGCTGCTTCATTTGTAAATAGGGATGGTGCCATCCCCGGGAATTGAGAGGAGTGAGGAAAATCATGGAAAGCTAGCACGCCGGAGCTGCAGGGCACAGGGCACAGAGGTTTTCCAGGAAGCACGTCCACTTTCAGCCCTGGTGTTTGCTGATGCCCAAGCAGAGCCACAGCATCCCCCACCCCCACCCCCGCCCAGGGACCAGCTCAGCATGAGGATACTCACATGGAAAGGAGTGTTTCCCAGAGCAGCCTCCAGAGGGCGCCACCATCACGGCCCTGAGCCACCCGAGCTCAAGTTTTGCTGCCAGGCCACCAGCCCACCTCTGTGACAGGGTGAGGCCGCTGTGGCTTTGCAGATGAAGGGGACCCCAGCAACCGTGCCCCGTATCAGGCAGGGCCCCACACACAGCAGATGCCCCTACTCAGGGGGTCTGTAGCCCAGCACCCAGGGCACTTGCAGGGAGGGTGGCCAGAGAATTCTGTCCTCTCCCTGCTCCTCGTCAACCACGGAGGCTCCAGAGGCTCAGAGGGATGGGAGCACGTGGGTGCTGCGGGAGCCGGGAACTCGGGCTACTTGGGCTGGCGCCTGGCTTCTCCCCAGAGGAGGAAGGGAATCCAGACATGTCCCTGCAAAGCCTGAGTGTTCACAACAGCGGTGACCACCTGCCAGATACCCATCGCCAGCTGATGAATCTGACGCCATAAGTCAGGACCCTGAGGCCAATAGTGGCACTGCCCTTCCAGGAACCTGTATGAAGTTCAGCAGGCAGCTGTGCCCGGCTCCCGAGAACAGGCAGCCTGAGGGAGGGAGGGAAGCAGTGCCTCTGACAGGGGCACCCCTCCCACTGAGACAGGCAGGGGCACACTGCTCCCCAGGCAGAGCCTGTAGGAAGGAGGCGGTTTGAGCCCCTGGAGCAACCACATCTGAAATATGGCAGATGCCCCAGGCCAAGATTGCAGCCCCTTCACCCCTCTCTTTCCCTCCAGGTGCCCCCAGTAGGAACCTCCCATGCCCCACACCCTTGTGTCGCAGGCAGCTGGGGGTGAAGCGGGGGGCTCACCAGGAAGATTCAGCAGCAGCCTGGCAAGTCTGCATCCACCACCAGGGCAGACCAGCGCTTCCTGCTCACACCCTCAGCCCCCAGGGGTGCTGCAGGGCATCCCACCAGCCAGGCCCTGTGGCTTACTTAGCTCAGAGCATTGGAGTCACGCCTGAGTGCACAGCTCTGCTCCCCCACTTACCTGCCGGGGAACCTGGGTAAGTCCCCAGCCCTCTCTGCGCCTCAGGCCCCCATCTGTACCATGAGGTAGACAAAAGGCAGCTGTCCTGAGGAGCAACTAGCCAAGCGGATTGAAGGCACAGGACGAAGGGCACAACCTGCCAAGGTATGAGCAGGAGGCTGGCTTTGGCTCTGGGTCCACTCTTCATTGGGGTGATGGCATCCCAGGCCCAAGCAGGTGCTGGGCAGGACCCTCTCCTTGGCTCCCCTGTGTCAGCCTGTGGGAGGCGCCACCCACAAGGATGCCCCCACCTTGCCCTTGCAAAGGTCCACGCCACACATACCTCAGGGCTGCGTGGATTCACAGGTGTTTTATTGGCTTTTCCGTAGGCAGCCTGGATGCCTCACGCTGCTAACCGTCCCCTCGACCCCTCACCCCACTCCTGGCCTCTGTTCTGGGGCCCCGGCTGGGAGCTGTCAGCCTTAACGTCTTCTCCCAAGGCCTTGCAACCACTGGGTCCCCAGCCCCTGGGCTCGTGCTGCCTCCTCGAGACATAAACCCACTTTTCTCACTGCCTCTCTTTGGGCCAGGCTCCCAAGCCGAGGGCGCATCCCTGCGTCAGGCACAGCCGAGTTCTCCTGAGGAGTGGGCTCCACCCCAGAGCCCTTTGGCAGTGCCTACCCATCCCAGGCTGAGTCAGACCCTATGCACAGTGTTGCGGGCTCAGTCCTACAGCTTGGTGTTGAGGTGGAAGGAGAAGTGGGGCACTGCATAGGTTGTGGCAGGTGGCACGTGCCACGCAGATGAGGCTGGGCAAAGTCTGTGACGCAGGGCACTGTCGAAGGATGTGGGGGGGAAGTGCATCAGGCCAGCGGCCATGGGTGAGGGTGCTGCAGTGGCCAGGAGGTGGGCTGGGAAGGCCGGGATGACCAGGGGGCTGAAGGGGAGTGTGGCCTGGCCCTTTAAGGGGTCCAGGGTGCTGGCGAAGTTCAGTGGGCAGCGCAGCATGGTGCCCCTGCAGGCCTCTGGGAGGGTGGGCCCCAGGGCCGGGCCCAGCAGGCAGGAGACGGCCAAGTCGGGCCCCACAGACTTGGTCCCGCACTCCTTGGCATCCACCTCCTTAAGAAAGGGAGACACTGCCCGCAGTTTTTTGCCGCCATGGACCAAGCCCTCTTCCTCCAGGCTGCGCTTGTTGCCCAGGCCTGGGCTGCTTGGGAAGGTGGTCAGGGGCACGGGGCTCTCGGCAGGGAGCTTCGCCATGGGGGACACCCAGCAGGCTTTGGGTTTGGGGTAGAGGCCACCCCTTCTGGAGCCGCCCTTGTGGAATGCAGAGGGGTGGTCGGCATCCCCGCCCCACACCCGCTGGGGCTCTTTGGCTGGCAGCCCCTCTTCTTTGCCAGGAGGCCCTGATAACACCCCATCTTTAAGACTGGGGAAGAAGTCCCGAGGGTGCTGGCTGATAGGCTTCAGCACCTCGGTGGGGTAGGCGTGGAAGCAGCCAGTGAAGATGGGGGCCGACGGGTGAGGGCCCACCTGAGCCTCCTCCTTGAGGCTGCCACCAGGGCCCTGTGTTCCCTCCGGAGGCGTCAGCCGGTGCCTGGAGTTCTCAGCCTGCCCTCCTGGGCTCCGGGGATTCTCCAGGGGCCGAATAGCTGGGGGTGCCTGGGGCTCCCCACCTGCCCCGTGGCGACAGCCCTCCTCCTGGCACTGCAAGGCCTCCGCCTTGCTCACCTGGGCCAGAAGCTTCTTTTTGGCCAGTGGTGACATGATACCATGTGTCCCTTTGCAGTAGAAGCTGGACAGAAGCCGCCTGTAGGCCTCAGGGCAGCCGCTGGCACCCACGAAGGGCAGAGAGGGCCCAGGGGCTGGGCCTCGCTGTTCCATGCCGTCCCTGGAGGGCTCCTGGCTAGGAAGCCTTGCCAGGTCAGGGGCATCTGTTTTGGTCTTTCCTGGCATCATCTGGAAAGAGAGAAAAGGCCAGGCCTCAGGGCTGGGTGTGAGCCATGCACCCTGACCTGGGCACTTGGTGACAGCAAGGTCCCAAGGGGGCACCCAGGAGCCTCTGCTAGCCCTTCCAGCACCTTTGTGCAAAATTTTCAAAAGGTGTCCCATCCTCTGAATAGACACAGCCTGGGGTCAGGACACAGGAACTGGTGAACGGGGTGCAGACTGGAGTTCAGACCCCACCCACGCACCCACCAGTGCTGCCCTCAGAGGAGGTTCTGGGTGTCCTAGGCAGGGAGCCCTGCGGCCAAGGTGAGGAGAGGTACGGGGCGCTGTGAGGGGCAGGGCACGAGGAGGCCAGAGCTCACCTGGTCCACCCGCTTCTCCTCCTTGGCTTTCTTTGGCCTCTCAGTGGCCCCGTCATCCCCCCGATGCTCCTTGGCCATCTTGTACTGCTTCCTGGGCTTGGAGGGGGGCAGGGGCTTGTCATCCTCTCCCTTCAGGTGCCGCACGTATGGGAGGACCAACCTGAGGAGGAACCGGGCACGTTGACCAGGAGGCCAGGCTGGCAGCAGGCTCCCACCGCTCCAGGCCCACCCGGCCTCCTCCAGCCCCGGACCGCAAACACCCCTGCCCGGCAAGCACACAGACAACCCACGGGGGGCCCGCGCTCTCCCTCATCTCGTCCAGGAGGCCTGCAGTCTGCCCTCCCCGCTCAGGGCCCTGCTGGTCCAACCCTGGGGGTGAAGGCCCAGGTCCTGTGAGCCAGGGGCCTGCCCGTACCTCTCGTAGTGACGGCGCGTGCACGTGGCTGCGCTGGTGCTGCCCGGGCTGCCCCCCAGCTCGTCATACACGTTCTTCCAGAGGCGGCGGCCAGTCACCTGCAAGGATGCCACGTGAAGGCATGGCCGGCGGGCACCCCCTGGCCGCGGGGTCCTCACAGCTCGGGGTCCCCACTTGGATGCAGTTTTGCAGCTGCTTCTCCAGCAGTGGGGCGACGAGGTTGGAGGGGGCTCCCCTGGCCGCCAGCCAGGTCTCCCGCCCAGGGGCCGCCCGAGTGCTGGCCCAAGCAGCTTTCCAAGCACGAGGACAGAACAGATGGGAAAGAGAGGAAATCTTGCTTTGAGCAGCAAAGTAGCAGCAGGCAAGGCGGGTCCCTCCTTCTCCCCGTAGCACACAGGGGAACTGGGGAAAGGGCAGGGTGTGGGACGCTGCCTCGTCCTCCTGTCTAGGGGTAAGGGCAGCTCTTTTGGGCTCACTCTCTTCCCCCAGCTTGACGTGCCAGGAGATACAGCAGGGTAAGGCCTCAGAGGTGCTGTCCTTACCAGCTCGTAGGCCCCCAGCTTCTCCACGGCCTTGTAGATCTTCCACAGGTTAACTGGAGAAAAGAGAGGGCAGGGCCACTCTCAGTCTTGGCAGGAGGAAGGGGTAGCCAGCAGCCTGTCCCCCTGGCCCTGTCAGGCAGGCACAGAACCAGCACGTACCCAGACAGGGCCACTAGGATGGCTAGGCAGGCCACGCCCCGTGCACTGGGGGCCCAGTGGCCCAGTGAGGATGGAAATCCAGCCCCACCCACTGCCAGCCCTGTGCCTGGAGGGAGGCACCCTTTCCGTGTGCAAACCCCGTGGGCTGGCGGTGTCCAGGGTTACCCAGAACGGAGGTGCTCCCCGATGCCCTGCCTGGGTGGGGGTCCCCTGCCGGGCGCCCCCCCTCCCTGCCTGCACCCCAGGGACGCACTCTGCTTGAAGCCGAGATGGGGCACCCTCTGGATGGGCGTGTGTCGCTCCTTCATGAACTTGTAGAGGCTGACCAGGAAGGCCTGCTCCTCCTCCCGCTCCCCGCCTGCCTCGGGGGAGTCCTGGGGAAAGAACACGAGGCAGCAGCATGAGCCCTCAGTTGCTGGGAGGCTGGGGACAGGCGGAACCTCAGGCTGCTGGGGAGGAAAGAGATGCGTGGCCCCCAGGCCCCCACAGGAGGGAGCAGACCCCCAGACCCAGCTCTGGGCTGCACTGCTTGTTCCTGGGGTCAAAAAGGCACAGGTGTCAGCTGTTAGTGCCCAGAACCCCAGGTCAGGGTCCACAGAGGCCCTGGGAGCTGCCCTGCACCTTCTCCAAGTTTCTGACCACTTCTTCCACTTGTCGCATCTGCATCTCAGCTCCTCTACCACACTGTGAGTTCCTGGCGGTAGGCGCAGCGTCCCCAGGGCTCCCAGCAGCCCCTGTGGTCCAGGTTGAAGGAACAAAAGTGCCTGGTGCTCTCTGGCTCTGTGGCGCCATGCCACCAGGCCTCTGTGACCCGCCCGTCCACGTGCTTAACTCAGGGAGGGGAGACCCTGTCCTGGGCTCCAACTGGCACTTCTGTCAGATGCACAGGTCTTTTGGTTTCTGCTCTCAGGGGGAATTTCTGCCGATGCTGTTCACGTGGCTGGTAGCTCAGGGCAGGGGGCTACTGTTAGGCTGGGGCTGAGGTCCTGGCAGGACAGGCCCCAAACACGAGAAGGACGAAAAACACCAGGGCCTAGAACCGTGCAGAGAGCCACGTGCTCCAAAAATACTCTATTCAAGTACCATGTCCGTGATTTTGACTAATCAAAGACCTCTGGTAATAAACAAGCCACCTCATATGTTAATGCACGAAATTGGCACACACTGGAGCCCAAGGCAGCTGTTTTCTGGAGCCTCAGAATGAAGGCGCTCTGACCACAGCTCTTCAAATGAATGTGCTCTTCTATTCCTCTTCTCTGAACTCCAGGCAATCTGTTAAAACCTGTTCCCACTTGCAGCTACTCTTCTACATGAATCAGGATTTCTACTCCAGCCTGTGCCACCAAAGCAAATGGCTGAAAAGCACGACGCTGAGGAGTTGAGGCTGACCACTCCGACCACGCTGGTCAACACAGCTGCGTTGATCTCACGAGGTGACTCTAAGGTCCATGTTATCAATGTGGATGGACGGAAGGATGTAAATGTACTTTTACATCGTAGAATAGTGCTTTTATCTGTTTCATACATCAGGGTTCCAGGTAATCCTCATTTGATAAAAGGGTTCTGCTATAGAAACCAAGCCTGAAACCCCAGCCAGGGGTGACGGGTGAGCCTTCCTGTCTGCCCCGCTCCCAGCGCCCAGTGCAGGGCCCAGGACAGCGGGGCTGGGCCCCTCTCCAGGCTCTCTGCAGGATGGGGGATAGGGAACTCATCTCCAGGGAGTCTCCATGTTCACCTGGGAAGCTACACACAGGTGGGGTGGGGGTGAGGGAGGGGCAGGGAAGAGGGCCCCAGGGGGGTCGTCCAACTCACCTCCAGCTGGACGGGGCTCTGGTTCCTGTTCTGCTCAGCGTCGGGTTGAGGAGACACAGGTGGGTCTAGGGGGTCACCATCCTCTGACTGTTTCCTTTTGCCTTTGACAGGAGGTGCTGGGAGGCGAGGAAGAGGGAGAGAAGGGGGAGGAGGGAGAGAACGTGAGATGCTGGCAGGGAGGAGCGGGCGGCAGGAGGGCCAGGTGGGGGTGAGTCCTCGCCGCCGTCCTCTGCTGCCTGTCCTCTGCACACGGTCCCGGCTGCTGCAGGCAGCCCTCTAAACACTCACAGGCCTCCCCCGACTCTGCCCTCCTCCCCTCTCAGCCCCACCAGGCCCCGCCCACACCACACCTGACACTTTTCCTTCCTCCATTCCAGCCCTCTGCCCACAACTTCGAAGGAAACCCTAAATCACCTTGGGGTCAAGTGACAGGAGACCGGCACTGGGGCCGTGGTCCTCGGGGAAATCATGTCTCCAAAACCTGCCCCACATTCAGGCAGAAAGTTTGGGAAAGCTGCAGAGGCTTCCATGATTGTGGACCCCCAAAGCACCACGGGGGGCTGCTTGGACCATAAACCCTCCAGAAATAATCAAGAAGAGGGTAAGTTCCTATTTGTGAAGCACCCAGCCTTTGCCTGAGGCATCAGCAGAGTCCTCACTGCCCCTAATTAGGCCACACGCTCCCCTCACCTGCACGGTTCCTGGTGAGCCTTCAGGTCTCACCTGACAAGTCGCTTCCTCGGGGTGGCCCTTCCCAGCCCCCAGCCAAGCACAGCACTTCTCTCTAGTCATCCTCTAGCCATCCTCACACCATCCAGATGGGCCATCCAGACTGAGATGCCCACGGCTCGTCTGGCCTCCTGAGAGCTTCGTGAGGCCGCCCAGCAACCCACAAAGTAGGTGGTAGGTAAGCGAGAATGAGTGTCTCACAACAACCTGACAGAGGGGAGGGAGGAGCCAGGGGTTTGGTTTTACTGAGGGCATCCTGAGAGCTGATGGCTGCAAAGACACAGCACCCCTGCCGCTGCCAAAGCACAGCCACTGGGAGCTGCTCTGGCTGGCAGCAGGTGTGAGACCGGGAGCCCATGTCTTCTGACCTTTTCTTTTTTTCTTTCCTTTCTCCTTTTGGTTAATCCTGCAAGAACTGTCCTGGTTCGCTCCAACTCAAGAAATTTTTACTGCTGGGAACGTGCAAGATTCCCCCTCCAACCCAGACAGAAAAAGAATCTCCTTAAGAACAAGAAACCCGCGCCAGAGTGACCCACAAGGTCAGCAGTACCCAGAAGCACGAGCTGCAGAACCTCCGGCCGCTGGACAGTGTCCCCTTGGGTAGCTGTTCACAGGGGCGCTGTGCAGGGTCTTGGCTCTGTGTCCCTGGCCCTTTCATGTATGTTCTCTCATTGAGTCCCAGAGGAATCCCATTTTAAGGGAGGCTGGGGGGACTGAAGCCAGAGAGGTTAAGTTGCTTGCCGCCCTGAGGGACCAGATTCAAAACAAGGTCTGTCTGACCACCAGTCCAGGGGCCTGGCCTCGCCACCACTGCGGCTGCTGTATCACCAACATTGCGAAGCCCTGGTGGAGAGTCCAAATAAACCGGGAAGAGAAACCGAGCCTAACACTTGTCAAGCATGAGTTGGGCCTGGGCCATCCTTGCAGGCTGGCTCCTGACCACTGGAGACACGGTCAATCTCCAGAAATAAGTGGGTTCTAATGACTGCTCCCCAAAAGACTGATGCCTTTCCAACCAGGTCCTTGGGCGAATCTGTGCCTCAGTCTCCCCTTCTGTGAAATGGGGAGAGAAGGACGCTGGAGTCCTTTGCTAACTATCCATGAATCCCAAAGCCTTCTAGGTCATGGGCACGCCTGCATCCTCCTGTTTTTCTCCTTTCCCTTCCTGCCTTCTCTGCTCTGCTTTCACATCCTCTCTCCCTTCTTGCCTGAAGCAAAAATGCTCAGCTCCGAAGGAGTCTCTCCATCGTGTTCCTGTGATGGGGCTTCTCACCGAAGCCCTCTCGCAAATTTGCTACAAGTCAGTCACTGTCCTCGGGCCTCAGAGAAATAAGGTGGTGGGACCAGGGCCCACTGGAATCACGCGGGGAGCATTTAACAGACATGATGCCTGTCTCCCACCCCACCCCCGCCTGAGTTTGATTTAAGGTCCTGCAAGGGGCATCAGAGTTTAAAGCTCCCCAGGGGAGCTGAGAGGGCAGACAGGTTGAGAGCCACCAGGCCAGAGTGGCCCTAGTCCCTCCTGCTCAGTTCCAGAGTTGGTGAGCTCTGCCTGGGCCATTCTCTCCTGGGAAAATCTCCTGGAGTCAGGCACTTGGGTTACCTGGAAAGGAGGTCACCAATCTGAGCTGTTTAACTCCAGACGGGAAAGGGATTATAGCTTCCCTAGAGCCACAAAGGGAAACACTCTATCTCTGTGTGCGGCTGAGTCCCAGAGTGCAGCCGGCCTCCCTTCTCTCGCACCCAGGACTGCTGCTGTGCTCACTCATCCTGGCAGGGCCTTCTAGGCCCTCACCCTTGCAGCCCCGATGAGGTAGGGCGGGGAGAGTCTTTGCCCTCCTTCCCCAGCCTGTCCTGTCCCTGGCTGTCCTATCCTTCTCTTCCCCAATCATTGGTAGATCAGGGTTCCGGGTAAATCTTCATTTGGAAAAAGAGTTCTGCTACAAGAATTAAGTTTGAAACCGCCTGCTGTAGGTGCCGGGTGAGTCCTCCTGCCTCCCAGAAACCCAGCTGCCGCTGAGTGACCGCTGCTGCCATGAGCCACTGAGTTCCTGTCTTGCCCTGAGCTTATGGGTGTATAGATCCCCTCTGAGCACAAAGCCTCAGATACCCTGTTGTAATGGAGGTGGATTCAGTTACAAAAAAAACCTCTGCTCTCCAAAGGCATGCCCTTCAGACATCGCCTTTTCCATCCAGGAAGCAATAATGACAATAATGGTTATTATTTATCTGTTTACTTTAATCTATCTGGAATCTGTAAGGTATGAGGGGCTTCCCTGGTGGCACAGTGGTTAAGAATCTGCCTGCCAATGCAGGGGACAAGGGTTCGAGCCCTGGTCCGGGAAGATCCCACATGCCGCAGAGCAACTAAGCCCGTGAGCCACAACTACTGAGCCCTAGTGCCACAACTACTGAAGCCCACGCGCCTAGAGTCCGTGCCTCTCAACAAGAGAAGCCACAGCCATGGGAAGCCCACGCACCGCAACGAAGAGTAGCCCCCACTCGCTGCAACTAGAGAAAACCCGCGTGCAGAAATGAAGACCCAACACAGCCAAAGATAAATTTATAAGGTACGGGATAGGGGTTTAACCATACTTCCCCATGGGTGGGTGGTCCCAGTATTGACTGAATGATCTCCTCCCCCAATAATCTGAAATGCTACTTTTCCCACAATCTGCAGGCTTGTAAGGAACACTTTAGGGGCTGGTTTTGGACTTTCTCTTCTGCTTGATTCACTGTGGAATGCTGGACCCATGCACAGTTTTAATTTCTGTAGCCTTGTAACACAATGTACTATTCAGAGCATAAGTCCCCCATCATTACTCCTCTTAGAAAATTCCTTCTGAAGTTTAGGATAATTCTGTCACATAGAAAGGAAAGAAGAAAAAAAGGAAGGGAGGGAGGGAGGAAGCGGCGGGGTGGGGTGGGGGAGGAAGAAAAGAAAAGAAGAAGAAAAACCACTGAGGTTTTGACTGAATTGCATTTACATTTAGAAATTACTTTGAAAGATAATAACACCTTTCTAATAGGGCATCTTCCTCTGCGGGACCACGTGTCTCCCTCTGCAGTGCTGAGTTCCTGCTCACAGGCCCTCTGCATCCCTGTTGAGCTTATTTCCCGAGTTTTGTGCAGCTAGGCAATAGTGTGAGAAGAACCCTGACAATGACAGCAGGACTAAGCTCACAGCCCGCTGCCATTTCCTCATCTCGGGGGCCCTTGTGACCCAGCCCCTCACTGGCAGCGAGGGGGCGTGGCAGGTGCTGGGCAGTGGGATGGCTCAGGCCCCTCCTGTGTTAGGAATCTGTCTCTGTTTGGCTCCATGGCTCTGTGGAAGTCAAGCTTAACCCTAGATCCTAATACCACAGCAGTGAAGAGGTTAATTTCAGTCGCTGGCTGCAAAAGAGGAGATTCCCAAAGTGAAGCCCACCTGTTCTCAGGCCCCTCTCTCCCTCTCCTTCCACACTATGTACTCCACCAACTGACACCAGTCTCTGCTAGGCCCTGGAGTAGGCACTTCCGTACATTAGCTCCCTGCATCTTCCCAGCACCCAGTGGGTATTATTTCCCCCCCTTTAACGATACAACACCTGAGGCTCTGAGAGGATCAATAACTTGCCTGAAGTCACACAGCTGTCTAGTGGCAAAGCTGGGATTTGGAACCAGTGCAGTCTGCCTGTCCCAAGACACTGAACCCTGAGATCTAGAGTTTTTTAACGGGAGCAGGGAGACCCCAAGTTCCTTCTCTGTGCTCAGAGGGTACCCATTTGCCCACCCTCCCTGGGGGATCTGCAGTCTCCCGCCACAGCATTCCCGTTAGTCTGCTGCCCTGCCAGACGAACTGAGAGCAGATGAGCTTGGGGCAGGAGGAGGGACGGGGAGGGGGCTCTGACTTCACACAGGTGCTTCTGTACCTTAGTTTACCTGTCTATAGGTGGGTGTGTTAGAACCCCCATGGGCCCAACGTTCTAAGCAGAACAAAGCAAGAAACGAGGCTCCCCCTACCAACCACAGTTGACTGTGTGCACATGTGTGCGCGCATCCCTCAGTGAGATCTGAGGTCTGCCTGTCCTGCTCACTCCCCGGTGTGTCTCAGCGCCTGGAGTCCTGCCCAGGAGAGAGCAGGTGCTCCAAAAACACAAGCCCCACTGAGCCTTACCGGTGCAGTATGAGCTACCTGACCTCACATAGTGCTGACGCTGAGAGCCGCCCAGCTGTGCCTACTTCAAGGCCTGCCCCCCCCCCCCTCTCTCTCTCTCTCTCTCCTCCCCCCGCCCCCTCCCCCGCCTCATTCACCCTTGGTGTGATGGAAAGGAAGCGACACTTCCTTTCATGAAAAGTCACCCACTGGGAGCACCGTGTCAATTACCACAATAATGGTAACAGCAGCCTCAATAACAACCAACAGACGCGGCCACACCTCCTCGCCTAAGGCCGTTGGCTTAAGTTTCTCTTAGCTTGAGCTGGAGCTGAAACAAAGACAGCCTTTGAAGCGGCCAGTCCACTCTGTGGCCCAGGAGCCGGCTGCCTGGCGGTCTCCGTGTGGAGCTTGCTCCAGCGTGGTTTGGGGAAGGGGGACCTGCCAAGGGCTGTGCTCCAGCCAGCGCTAAGGACAGACGGCCGACCGGGACATGGAAGCCCAGAGGGCACAGGGTGCAGCTCCCGACCCAGCCCTGCCTCTGGGCCTCAGCTGGGGGAAGAGGGGGGTCAGGATCTAGGAACATCTGGGGCCAAGATGACAGCCTTCAGTGTAGAAAAGTGGGGGCATGGGGGCACCAGATACGACACTGCCAACTCCCAAGCCCTGCTGGAATTCGGCCGCCCTTTAGCCGGCTCTGGGATATCCTAAAAGACCCTGTTCCAGGATGGGGCTGAATCCCCACTGTCCCTCCCCTCCAAGTCTGGGTGATGTTTGACAGTAACAGTAATGGCTCCATCTATGGACCGTTTCCTGTGTCCTCACGGACTACATTTCCTGCACCTACTCCACCTATGGGGGAACCAGGCTTGGCAGCGGCTTGTCCAAAACACTGGCCAACAGTAGAGGCACAGCCAGGACGGAGCTGTGTCAGCTGCCTGACCTCTGCCTGGGGCACTCGTTTGCCTCTCAGCTTTTCCGCTCCGCTCCTAGAGCACCCCACACCCTCCGCCAAGGATGGCTCTCCAAGTCGGTACCACAAGGTCCCAGAGGGAGGGTGGGCCATCCCAGGCCAGTTTCCAGAACCATTGCGAAGGGAGAGGGGGCGGGGTCTTAGAGGCCTGATTCGTCCTCACTGCCAGACCAGGGCTGGTCTGTAAAACTCAGTTTCCCAGACTCTAACTCATACAAGAAGGGGCTGATTCCGTGAGGTCTTTTCTATCTCTGCCGTTCCAAGTTCGAGGCCCCAGACGGGTCCCCGGGGCTTGTACGGACTCTGGAACTCCACTCCCGTGGCCCAACCCACTAGCTGCCATCTCCCATCCCTCCTCTGCCCTAACACGGCCTGTGGGCGCAGAGACCCCAAGCCCCCAACCCTGGTGCTCGGGAGGGGACAAGAAGCACCTGTTATCCTCTCCTTGGCCCCGCGGACCCCTCCTCGATAGCTGACGACCCCGCAAACAAAGGGACCCGGGGTCTGGCCAGCGAAGTGCCGCCGTACCCGTACCCTGAGCCTTCGGGGGTCCGGCAGCCGGCGACCCCCACCCCTATCCCAGCGTCCGCGGGACTGGAGGACGAGAGCCCGGCCTGGCCGCGCCCCCTGAACACCCTGCGCAGGGACCGAGACGAGGCAGCCGTGTCGTGGTCCCAGGCTCGGACTGTGCGCGAAGCCAAACTTCTCGCACGCTCGCAGCCCGCGCACCGCCACTCCTCTTCTCCCCCCCACCCCACCGCCCCCATCACTCCCGGGGCCGCCATCCCGTCCCTCCTGGAGACCCGAGAAGAGAAAAAAGAGACAAGAGAAAGATGCGCCGAGCAAAAAGGGAAGCTACTTCTTCCCTGTCGTGGGGAGCGTGGGGGTGTGTGTGTAGAGGAGGGTGGACAGGAGACAAGAAGAGAAGAG